ACAAACTGATGGGGGTGGGGGCTGGAAGAATGTGAACGCATCCATAGCAGCTGATCCAGAGGAAAAACACTGAGAGCCAGGTGACTTCACACAAATTATTCTGGCCAACTCACAGGTTCAACGGGAGTGTTCCCTCAGAGTCCTCCACTGTTCCCCTTCCTCCCACTCACTCACTTCCCAGTTAATATAGATGAGACCCAACAGGCTCACTGGACTCTTCTATCATTCATCAGTAGTGGAGAGTGTCCAAATTCTGGTTTAAACAAAATAAAACTCTCTACTATGTGTTGTTATAAGCAGCAGCATCTTTAGACACAGATAATGGTTGCAGAAACATGACTTATGCAACCACTGTAGCCACACTAACAAGTTAGAATATTAAATAGGCCATCGAGTTCTAGCCTTGTTTTCACTTTCTCCCAAATAAACTCCATAAACTGTCCTCACAAAAACCTCATAAAACTCTATGGTGGCAAGATGACATTTGTGCAAGGACTGTAGAGAGAAAGGTGACAAACAGCCAGCAAAAAAGGACTAGATTCCGTGAGCTAGATCCTACATACAGAGATACAAGATAACGTAGGCATATTTAGTGATATGGTAGAGTATTACGTGCATAGCATGAAAGAATGAATACACTTCCCAGTGGGCCTCGTACTTCTTCCCAAGAACTCCCTTGCCTGCCTAAAGAATTTGGCCACTCCTTTATGAATGGGCTTGCCAATGAAAACAGCATCTTTACTCTCTCCTACCAGGTAAAATTGTTTGCCCTTGTTAACACACACACACACACACACACACACACACACACACACACACACACGCACACAGTAGGAATCAGTCCACCTGCTCTCTTGAATTTGCGTCTGTTTTTATGTCAAATGCTTGATTTCCCTAAATTAAAAGGGATGTGAAAACACCTAGCCTTCCTCTGAAGTTCAGGGGGTGTCCATAAAATCTACAGCTAGCCCCAGACGTTACAGTACTTGATCTTCTTCCTCCAGGATTCATAGTCAAGCCATGAGCATTTGCCAGAATGACTGATATCAACTACAATTCGAGTTGGTACAATTCCTTCAGTCATGGATATTGTTACGTACACCGCTGGACAGAAACCACCAAATGATCTTTCTATTCTGAACTCATTTATGCTTGCCAACGAAAACACGGATTTGCATGGGGGCCAGTCAAAAATGTGAGTCACAGCAAGTTCTAGGGAGACACAAAACCCAAGTCCAGTCACAAATTGTGACACCACACCCACCAGGACCACACTCAGGGTCCAAAGCCACATTTCAGAAATAGAAGCTCTTTAACGGGTATACACCACTACACATTTCACTCAGACCCTCCCCTCCCCCACAAAAGTGCTTAACAACGGTGCAAACTTGAAACTCCTGGGAGAGCCCATTTTTTTAATCTAAAATCTAGTTGTCTGGCATTTTAGATCCTTCAAAATGGAAAAAAAATATTGCAGCAAAAGTCACGACTTGGCCTTTTGAAACATTGTCCACTTACGCCAAACTGGCATCAATAATGACTAGATTTAAAATAAACAGCGTAAAAGAAATAGAAGAGTCTTTGTATTTTTTGTAGGGTGGGTTGGTTCAGTTTAGTTTTTTAAGCCATTACCTCCAATTAATAAAACATCAGTCTTTGTGGCTGTAATGTATGTGACAAAAGCTGTCGGCTTTTTGACTAGGAAAAAGGTTCTGACATGCACGGTGAGGAGTTTGAGGAAAAAATGGAATACACCACAGATGAAGCAACCGCACAAGCCCAGAGCAGTTTTTGGACAGTTTGATGACTGATTTAACTGTGAAATTATCAACCTTTAGTTGAAGGGAACAGAAGACAGACACTTTGTTCCATTTATCCCCAAACAACACCCAGTGTCACTGATCTTAACAGCTTTGCATCTCATACTTATACCCATCTGTTCAACCATGGGTAAAAAATAATAATTTTCAGCTCCCTGAAATATTTCACGATTGGCTGCTCAACTGTGACTTTTTCTTAATTTCAGAACTAATATGGCTTTCTAGGGAAATCTCTGGGAATAAAAAGGCCATCATTATGCATTATCTCTTGGCTAGGTCTCCACTTTGAAGCAGTATTTCTTTAATAAAGAATCAAGACACACACCCAAATGTGAATGAATAGTCATTATTTCACTCACTGTTTTGAAAAGATAATTCAAATCAGGTCAGAAACATGTAATAGTATCTTTGAAAAGACAGAATCAGATGAATGAGGTCTTCTTTCAGTTAAGAGTTTGAACAATGTGCTGTTTGGGATTTGGGAACCTTTTTTGAGAGAGCGAGCGAGCATAGGTGGGGGGGGTAGAGGGAGAGAGAGAATACCAAGCAGACTCCCCACTGAGTGGGGAGCCCAATGCAGGGCTCGATCCCAGGACCCCGAGACTATGACGTGAACCGAAACCAAGAGTCAAACCCTCAACCAACTAAGCCACCCAGGCGAACATTTTTAAATGGAAGATTTAAAACTCAAAAAGTTAATTTTAATGTAACAAATTACCAACATAACTGAAATTAACTATAAAAATACAAATAGTTCCTGAATATGAAAGGCACATGTTTAACAAGGAGTCAGCTAGTCAGTAACAGGGAAAAAGTGACCTTGTTCTGATTTATCTCATGCTGGTACAGTGAGTGACAAAAAGACTACATAAACAGTTAAGCTCTCCCTCACTGAACTTGTTTCCAAAAAATGTCTATGATGTCCTTGAAATTAGGTACTATTGATCTGGAACTACACTGTTCCCTGCATTTCAAGTCAACATCTATCTGCCCACAAAGGCCAGATTATCCTATTTTCTTAAAGTAGCTATCGTAAGTAGGATAGTTGTTGGTTAAAGAGAATTTAACTAAAATCTGATCCTACACATCTCAATAACTCAAATATCTTTCAAATTTTGTCCTTTAAAAGTACTTTGTTTTATTATGCCCTACCTGCCTTATAAACACAGGGAAAGGGAAATAAAGGGAAATAAATTGGTTAAAACTAAGTACATAAAATAAGTGTTATTACTCAAACTGTGAATGAAATTTAAAACACTGGCATATTCAAGTCCCTAAGCCAGGACTAGTTTCCCGGAAAGAATGCATAAATTGGAATTTGGCACATCAGGACAACGTCATAAAGATGCTCTTTACTTGACTGGTTATTACAAACTGCAGTTTGAACACTCTATCAACCAAGGCTCCAGTGAGCTCACTTTAGCACACAGGAATTCCACATTACCTTCTCTTTCCCACTGAAAAAGTACACTGGAAAATACAGTATGTTTTACATACTTCCCACAGAACATAAATAGAAAAGACCCATTCACCACTATTTCAGAGCCAGTAAGCAATTGTTATTTCTTAGCCCCAAAACACAAACCAAAATTAAAATGTTCTGACCTTTTCAGTAAAACGCACCTTCCCTTTGCAAAAAGCCTGCTCCTTATCCACTCTGTACTAATTAATTTTTTCAAGAAGAATAATACAGACCCAGGTGTTTTATAAACAACAGCAAAACAAAACACTTCTTTCTAGCTCTGAAATCTGATTGTCATCAGCTAGAAAGACGGAGAACCCCATCTACGAAGTCCTGTGTTCCCTATTTCCCTCCATGGGTTTATAAGATGTAATGTGGCTTTTCTTTCTTTCCTCACCTCCTGGAAATGCCCTTTCATTCAAGGCACCTGGGACGCAGCTTTTGCCTCACAATGAAGTTCACACCTGACCTGGCAACAGAAGGATCTTCACTGCTGAGGAACAGTGGTGAATGAAAAGGGAAACTTGACTCCCAAGTCTCAGCTCATGTGTTTTTTTTTTTTTTTTTTTTTCCTCTCCAAAAGAAAGAGCCTCAAGCACTGGATAAGTGATGGTTCTGAATCAGTTTATGGAGTTAATTCTTTTCCCAAGAAAGTCAATCACCACCAATTAGTGACCTGGGCACACAAGATCTCCAAACAGGAAAAAGGGTTTCAAACAGGAAATAAACAAAAACCAGAATTCTACACCTCCACTTCTCAAAATATCTTTTCCTCCCAACAGCCAATTGCTTTTCCTAACTTCCAAACTTGGACACTAAATCAACTTCTTCTTCTATTGCTCTTTGCACTTCTTGTTGAAAGGAAGGATTGTTTTGGTCCCACATGTTGAAAAAGCCATGTTCCTATAATTAAGAGTTCGTATGCCACGCCTTCCACCCCATTTCCCTGTGAAAACTCTCTTCTCCAAAAATAATCCCGGAAAACCCAACTACCAGTCCTCATCCTTTCCTCAAGCAGCCACAGGGAACAGATCTGAGGATTCTCAGCAGCTTTCCTAACCTCTCCAGATCACAAAGTTGGCAATGAAAGGGATTCTGTTAAAATGTCAGAGTGAAAAGGAGTTGGAGTTTTAAGAAGTGTGCCCCCAAGAGACGATTTTTTCCCACAGCTCATAATTAATACACCCCAGCTGAATTTCTCACATCCTGACTGGACCATATAAAAGGATTTTTTACGTTAATATATAAGAATATTAAGAATAACAATGATATTCTTTCATTTAAATCAACATGTAACAGGCCACAGGGAAACTAAAAATACAAACCTTTCGTTCTCTCTCAAAGGGCATAAATTTTGAGTCGAAACTTGCGACATCTTTAAATACCGCCCCCCAACACACACACAGTTCTCTAATTGGGGTTCTCAAGTATTACTGGGAGACCAGGGTGTGGGGGTCTAAGGACACAGACAATACCTTACATGTCCATCCTGGAGGTACTTTTCACATATAAGCTAGTTGGGAGCCCCAGGAGTTAAGCCCTACCCCCCCCCAAAAAAAAGTTCCCGTTCCCCCTGGGACGTTTCCCCCTGGGAAACAGGAGTGAGTTGGAAAGGAAATAGAGCCGGGGAAAAGGAGGAGCAGCTGCAACACCCAGCTGCAACCACACAACGGTGCAACTTCCCTCTGGTCTCCGAGAGCAGCCAAACGCCCTTACCTGGGGGTGGAGAGCCGCCGGCACTACTTCCAAAAGTTCTGGTTCACCTTCCGTCCGAGTTCAAAGCCCCGGCAAGGCTGCCCCGCCGCAGGCTCCCAGCCCGAGCCCTTTCCCGTCCGGCTCCCGCCTTCCCCACCCTCTCAGCCCTACACCATGTCAGGAATCCGGGCAGGCACCGAGCTGGGAGCTGACATCACTCCCAGTTCCAGGTACCTCCCCCTCCCACCTCCCACTCGCCTTCTCTCCTCCCTCCCTGCGGGAATTAGCCAAAGAGAGTTCGCAAGGGGGTGGGGTCGGCCGCGCCCGGGCGCCCGCTGATTGGGTCCGGGGGCCGTCACTCAGAGGAGTCAACTAATTTTATACATTCCTCGCCGAGCGAGACCAGGGCTGGGAGTGGGTGGTGGTGGTGGTAGAAAAAGGAGAAAATGCTGCCTTTCCTGCTATCTCTAAGAAATGGAGGTGATGGTATGGGGAAGAGCCTTGCGGGTCGTGTTTTGAACTTCTCTTGGCGCATTTACTACATCCCAGATCGGAAACGAAACTAACCCACCCCGGCCCCCTTTTTAAGGAAAAACAATTGCCTCTGTGTCACGGGCAAGTACGAGTCCGGCGGCGCGTGGAGCAGAAAATGGCTAGCTTTTAAGTCATGCAAATAAAGGAAACCGCCAGCTCGCTCTTCTACCCTTTTATCTTGGGGCGAATGGGTGTTTCTTTAGATGGGGAATTTAGAACTTCAAAAGCTCCGGAAAGGTTGGGAAGAGAATCCTAGAAACCGCGACCCAGCTCTGAATTGTTAACTGGTGGCGTTATCAGCCATGTGCTGTTTTTGCTTTGAGCGGTGAAAATCACACCCCACGAGCTTCCGGGCAAATAAAATTGAATCTCCGAAGTAAGAAAAATTACTATTTACCTTTTTAAGTACCTTAAGGCTGTTGCTTTCCTTGCGCCCCTGAAAGCGGGGGGGGGGGGGGGGGGGGGGGGGGTGGAGAATCTCACAATTGAGTTCAACTAGCCACATGAGAATAGTTACTGTTGAATGGAGCCAATTGCAGTGGCTGAGCTATCATTTAAGAATTAACTAACATTTACCCCTGACGGATATCATGCTGTATAATCCCCTTGGCTAACAACAGAATGATTCTCAGGAGACGGTTCTTTCAGTTTGCCTAATACCTGATACAAGACAGAACTGAATGGTGAACCGTGGCTCTATTTATATGAGCTATAGATAGCATATTATCCATTATCTTCTGGAAGTACAATGAATTAAGTATTGGCATTCTTTTGGTTTGTATTGTTTGTTTGATGACAACATCTCCTACATTTCACCAGTCTGCCAAAAATTATAGACAGATGCACAGAGTCAAACACTGTGTCTCACTTGATCCTCACAACCATCCCGTAAAGTGTTACTAGCCCCACTTTAACATAAGGAATCAAAGGCTCAGCCAGATAATGTAAGTAAATTACTCCAGAACATCCAGAAATGGGGTTGAAACCAAGATCCATTTGACCCCTGCCCCCCCCAACCATTGTTTCTCTTTACAGTGGCGATTGTTCACAATGGACACTCATTCAAACACTAAAATGCTGAAAAAAATCCATAGACCCAGGCCTCTGCTCTCACAGATCTACTTTCTATTATCACCATTATGCTGTGTGTCAGACCTATGCTATGCCAACGTCCTAACTTATTTCTCATTTCATTTTTCCCCAGCTCTAAGTCTTTCTATGCATCACCACCAAATGAGTTTTCTAAAACACTTTGCTTTTGCCATCGACATCTTCCCCTCTAAATTAGGTCCCCTTTCCCTACAATTCTTAGCTAGCCATTTAAAACCCTCCCTAACCTGGTCTCTATTTATCTTTCCCACCTTAATCTCCTACTTCACTCCCGGGAAACCCTCTGCTATAGTCAAACTGGTCTGTCACAGATCCCTGCTTGACTCTCACCTTCTGGCCTCTCTGGAATCCCCGCTCTTCAGTGTGTTAAGTCTTGCCCTTCTCTCAAAGCCTAACTAAGACCTAGTCCTCCGAAAAAGGGCTTGGGGTCCATTGCCCAGTTCTAGCACTTAATTGCTGTATAACTGGCAAGTCACTAAAACTTTCCACATCAGAAACCTCGATCACCTCCTTTATAAAATGGGGCTGATAATACACCAAAGGTAATTGTAAGGGTTACTGAGATTGCCCAGAGGTACAAACATATGGTTAAATACATCCAGTTTTATATATTTCCTTATCTTCGCACAGGATTAAGCAAGCTCCATGCTTAATCCTCTTTGTATTCCTTATACCCAATTCACTAAAAATATAGGACTACAGAAAAATGGATCATCATATCACCCCTGACCCCCCTCCATTCCTGAATGCACCCAGAACCCAAATAATCTCACCATAACACACAGCTGCACACCCTCTCTCTCATACATTGGCCAAATCCTTCCCTTTTCCCACTCTTTCATCATCCATGCAACAATCCTTAACTCATTTTCTGCACAAACCACTTAACCTGCCTCTTAGCCACTCATCCTTCCCCTCCCTCAGTCAGGGACACAATTGCCACTAGTGCCTGTTGCCTGCTTTGCTCCCCAAATGCCTTGGAACAGTGGCTGGATGGCTACCAGTCAGTCATTCATCCAGCCCCAGTCATAGGAAGGCTGTATCCAGGCTCACATTCTACAACCAGCAGCAGATGGGGGAGGGACTGTCCCACCCCCATAGGGATGGCAGGATAGAATAACAGGAAGTTGCCTCCCATCCCCTCTGCAGCTGGAATGATAACAGCTGGCCTCAGAGTCTAGAAAACAAAAGAGACAAGAGGAAAGCTGAAAACAGGCAGGGGCTGGAACAGTAGTGTTCAAACCAGGGGTTCCAGAGTGGGTGAGAAGGAACCAGTGGGCAAGATTTCAGCCTGCTTCCCCCCCCCCACCCTGCTCCCCCTTAATGGGAGTTAGAGCTTCTCTCTGTTCTACGTTGCGGCTTCAGCATAAGGCTTCATTTTTTTTTTAAAAGTGTGTGTGTGTGTGTGTGTGTGTGTATTATGTATATAATATATATATATATATATATATATATATGCTTTGAGAAGCCCCAAAGGATTGGAACAATGTAGCAGAAGCAAAATAGGGTTCCTGGTGAGCAGACACCCAGAGTTTACCCACTATCCTGGATTCTAGCCACTTAATGGAAAAGTCCATTTACAACTCTTGTGGTTTCAACACTAATTAGCTCTGTAGGTCTAGATATCTATTTTCTGCCTAGTTATTCCTATGGTTAGCCTCACCTTTAGTACCTATGAGTGGTGCCAGATACTAACACTATGGGGTGTGGGTGGGGAGAGGAACATTTTGAAAGCAGGAGAAAACCTGCAGAGAGTAACAAAAATAGAACTTGAAATAGCCCCCAAAGGTCATCTGATACAACCCCCTATTGGATGCAAGGAGCCCTTCTAGAGCATTCTCGACAAGTAGCCTCCTTGTAAGCCCTGCTTGGATTCACCAGGAGCATACAAACTCAGAGAGCAGCCCACCACTCAAGATCTTTCTCCTAGTAAGCAGATACTGCCTTTCTGACTTTCTCCTTCAAAGACCTCAGCCTTGTGTCTCATTTAATCCTCATAACCACTCATTAAGGTGAGTGTTATTATCCCCCTTTTAACATAAGGAATCAAAGACTCAGCAAGGTTATATAAGTAAATTGCTCCAGAATACTCAGAACTGGAATTGAAACCAAGGTCTCTGACTTCAAGCCATTTTTTCTTTATACGTCTAAAGCCTTGCTTGTCCACCATTTACCCTTTTTCAGTTCTATCCTCCCAAATAACAGGGAACAGGCTGACTTTTTGTTCCTGCATCCCCAAGCCTGTGCAGACGTGAGGACACATCCCACACTTAGTTTATTTAGATGCAGATACCAAGAGAGGTTCACCTGACTCATCAAGGTCACATCACATGCCTGTCTGGTCTTTACAGGCTTCCCGCAGCCACTCTCTAATGCACTCCTGATCACTCTTGACTTCTTTCAAAACACTTCGTGCCTTTCCCAGGGAACAAAGCCCAAACTCTCTTTGGGCATCAAAAGGACCTTACATCCCTTACATCCTGATCTCCAATTTACCTTTCTGCATTTAGTGATCCACTTTTCTTCATATTCGCATGCTGTGCAAACTGAGTGACTTTGCACCCATATTCCCTAATAATGCTTCTTCTTCAGTTAAAGATGATTTTTGCCCATTTCTAGTAAAATCTACCTCACAGGGTTGTTGTGAGGATTTGAGGAGACATCATGTACAAGGTGACAGAGCACGTTGCCTGACACATAAGACATCAGTAAACATATTTTCCTTTTCCTTATGCCACAAAACAATTGTACTATTATTTTTAGAGAGGGCTTATGTCCCTCACTGACTAAGTTCCTGAGGACAGGATGCCAATTTGTGTTATCTTTATGTTCTTTAGGGAATCTAAAGCCCTGCTTCATCCTATAGACATTCAATAGAAATTCACTGAATGAATGAATGAATGAATGAATGAATGCTGTCTTTTACTTAAAACTTCTAACCTGCCAGGAGCTACCTCTTTAGAAGCTCAGGAAGAACTGGACCAGAGTTGTCTTAAAGGATCTGGGTGCCTCAGACTGTTCTTATCCCGATCACACTGCTAAACACAGAGTGAGTTGGACACATGGTATAAATCATGAACCCAAATTCAAATGAAACAAGCTTAGCTTTAGAATTCTTTCTAAAGGAAATTGCCGCTTATTCCATCTGATTCTAAGCATGGCATCGGTGATAACCCAGGCATCATTTTAATATCCTTTAGCTGGATAATAAGCCACGACTCAGCTATCACCACTGACATCATCTATGAACACAACATTCCTCCCTATTCCCTTCCTGCCCATGGAGACAGGTTAGAAATAGGACCAGTATCTCCCTTCAAGCAGGGTCTTATTTCAATCACTCTTCCCTTGCAACCGGATTGCCCTCGTTATTCTCTGGTTACCTGCCAGACAAATTCAAAAACCCGGCTACATTCAATTACCCATTTCATTATTCTATTTATAAATGGAAAACAACTTTAATTAAAAATAGAGACTATTGCTTTTCCTGGTCTTTGATTAATGTTCAATTAATGGCTAAACTAAACAAATTGAATTCCCTTAAACAGTTAAGCCCATTTACAAACATAGTTAA